AAAAAAAAAAAAAAAAGCTCATTTAGTTTTATGGCATCCTTTTTGGAGAAAGAAATAAAATAAAAAATTCTACTTCTGCTAGCTTAAGGATATTGAGGATGCCTGAGTGTCTAATACAATTTAAAGTAAAGACAAGCAAGGATAAGAGACCTGAACTCATATTGGCAATAAATTCTGCAATATTAAGGACAACAGATTCAGAAAAGTGCTTGCCAGCAACAATCACAGCCCTAAGAGGAGTAGGTGGATATGGATGTGGGGCCCTTGAATGTGGATGTGCGGCCACATCGAAGGGCTGTGTGGTTGTCTCGATTAACATTTTTCTGCAAGTCTAGCCTGAATTTCAGCAGCCTTAAAAAGATAAACAGGGTTTTTCCATTGCTGATTTAACCATTTTTATCACGCAAGAGAAATCCTGTGATCAAATAACTGTCTAATTGAATTGCCATAACCAAAAGAAATAACTTTACAAAGTATTTACTATAAAGTACGTCGTGGAGAAAGCAGCAATTGTCCAATATCTTCCCCAAAAAGCATCTGCTAAGATTGCTCCACTGAAAGGGGTAAGATAGCAAGTCCATTGCCAATTGCTGACACTTCTGGCAGCATCTACATTTCCTTCATGTAGTTTTTTTGTCAGGTAACTTACAAGATTAGTGGCAATCCCATAATAGGCCAAACGCTCACAGCATTCAGTACCTGTATTTCATATTATGATGGTCAGAAGTAAAAACAAATTACAAGAAAAACAAATAAAAATAAAAATAATAATACTAATAATAACAATAGAAGAAACAAAGAATAATTTACCCAAAATAAATGAGCAGGCCTTCCAATTGCCAGTATTCTTTTTGAGAACAGGCATCCCGCGAATGTCAACAGAGCCATCTCTAGTGTGCAGTCCACTGCCTCCACTCTAGACACAAAAGACAAACATCAAAAGTGCTTCAAGAAAAAGAAAGATCAGAAGTTTTAAGTCAAGGAAATAATATAATTAAAACTAAATGATATCCTGCAAACTAAACACCTAAAAGATAAATCCTATTGCAGAAATCAAAATTACTAATTCATATTTGCTTTCACACTCAACATTATTGAAAGTGATCAAATACTAAATTCCAAAAACATAGGACAGATTGTTCAACTAAAACTCGTGACTAAATGAAGAAAATTACACTGGCTGCATAACAAAATAACTTTAACCTTTGCTTGCAGACGAGCACAAGCCCAGATCCGTCAAACCCATTAAGTTCCAGTACCTACTTAAAGAGAACCATTTGTCAAACCCAACTAATGATAACAATACAATTGCAACTCATATTTTACCCAGAAGTAACAAACAAGGATAAGGAACTCAATTACCGCAACAGAAAATACCAAAATAAAAAGATAAAAATAAACCCAAGAATCTATGTTAACGCATATGGCAGAAAGTATTCAGCTTTCAATCCCTCCTACACCATCTAAATTTTGGGGTATCCATAAATTGCGAATATTTTTGGGATATCCTAAAAACCCAAAATTTGTCTTTGATCGATTCCTAGAATCTATGCTTGAAGAGCAAAAATATAATGATGAAAAATGGTCAATTGATGAATTCTGGGAACCCAGAAATTTGAAAAAAAAAAAAAATTAAAATCAACGCATGGAGTTGAAAATCAAAAGAACCTGTAGATGCCCATCTTCCAAAAGCGATCTCTCTTCCTCAAGCGAACCCATATTTCTCTTTGAATGTGATATTCACAACGAAATCCTAGAACAGGCACCGGAGAGGTGAAGATACCCGAGTTTACAATTTGGGTTATAAATATGAGATTTTGCCAAGTATTAGTTTCAGTTGCAAGTTATTGCAATTGATGAAGTTGGTGCTGACAATTTTCTCCAGTTCTACAACCTTTTGTATAAAATAATCTGTCTGATCAATAATGTTGCTTGTTTACAAGTAAAAGTAAAGTACTTCGCCAATCAAGCAATTAAAGAACCAGAAAAATGTTCCAGGATTACAGCTGAATCATCCATACATGGTATTTCATCATCTCGTCTTCCAAAGTGGTAACCTCCAAAAATCCTGTCATGCATGTAGTTCTCTCTTTCAGGTAGGGGAATTGCCATACTTTTGTTGTTAACGGCAAATAAAATAGGGTCCATACAATTTTTTTTCTTCAATCTTTGGTTACACGTGTTGGCAACATATTTACATGTAGACCTGGTTTGAATTTATAATTTTTTATTTTTATTCAAAAATATTGTTATTAAATTATTTAAGTTGTTAGTAATAAATACTGCAGTTAATTCTTAATCTTTACAATAACCAGTTGATATTATCCTAACTTTTTATTTAGATTAGAAATGGTCCTCAACTTTTTTTTTTTTTTTTTAAATTATCAAGTTTAGCTCTTATGCATTGCTCTTAGGGTTGAGGTCAGTAGCAACGGAATTCCTCCCTAGGGTTTCTCTCCAATAGAGGAGTTCTTTCACCCCTGCTTTCTTCTTACCCTTACTTTTCTCCTCTTGATCTCTCCCTTCATCTTAGTTGATTGACTTGCTTTGGAAACTCCAACCCAAGGGACCACAAGGCAACGACATATCTTGGTTTTATAGTGTTTTGGCATTCTAAGAGGTTGGCTAGGTTTATGTTTGTTGTTGATTTCAAAAGGGCTGTGACTAGAATAATAAGAGAATTGCTCTTGCCAACGACTAGGGTTTCTCCTATTCAATGGGTAAGAAGGGCCTCCCTTTTTCCTTTTCTTCTCTTAATTATCCTATGTAAAATTTTGAGTTGGGGTAGAGGGTTGGTGTTGCCCTTCTTCTTTCATCTATTTGATTATCATAGAATGAGATCTAGGTGGGGTCGAACTCAAAGAAATTGGTTCACACCAATTTTCTAATTGGGCTATGCGTGGGGGTTATAGATGGCTTTTAGTGTAGAGGGACAGGTTTACATGCTGCCCAATTAGGGTTTGTCGTCGTTAGGGCCCTTGGTAAAGCAAAACAGTGTTGGTTTGAGCTGTTGGTTTATTAGTTGGAAAATACTATTTGGCTGGGGGCTTGGGCAGTAGACATATAGTGGATCTTGGCCATGACTGAAAGGTGGAAGGCCTTGTGTCTAACAAAATATTGTGGTGGCATTTTACCAAAGGTGTCGAATATGGTTGCCATCAATGGTAGTCGAATAGAGGAGGAAAGGGATGCTATTGGTGAAGTTGGTTATGTTTTGCAAAGGAAGAATGGTATTCAAGTCAGCAAAAGGGCTCCAGTTCCCTTATTAAGTTTCAACAACAAGGGTTTGAAGAAAATTGGAAAAGATGGGAACATGGTTGGGAGCACATGGAGACGAATGGGGTGCCTTGTGCTTGCATGGAAGAGGACCATGCCCCTCATGTTGGTTAATCTTTAAGAATAGATAGAGCGATAACTTGCAGGTTGGGACTGTTTATTGTTAGAATCCCTTGCTTTCCCATAAAGCTAGTTAAATAGGTAAAGACGTCCAGTAGCTTTCAGTGACTCTCCTTTCTACATTAGTAGCCATATTTAGCTCATACATTGATTATAATTGCAATCTTTAGTTGCAAATGACTCTTTTTGTTTAATTGACTATATTTGTCATAGGTATAGTTAAAATTTATTACTAGTGCTATAGGTTATGTTTCTTATTTTGTC